ATATTACGTGATATTATAAATTTAAATATTACGTATTATTATATAATTGATTTTTATCATTAAAAAACTCATTTGTAATATTATATACATCTGTTCATAACACATTAAAATTATAAGTTTATATAATATTATAACTATATTATTAGCGGAAGCCATTATGAATGGCTCTGCTCTTCTTCCCATATTCCCTCTGCAATATGCATGCATGCGTACACAGAATTGGTGGTTATTGTAGAAGATTTGACACATTGTTCCAGAAATCAAGTATTAGATGCTTTGAACAGGATGGAGGAAAAAAAAAGAACCAAAAGATGCCTATGAATTATTGACAATCAGCATGAAGAACATAACCTTAAAAATAAATAAATAAATAAAGGGGGAGGGGGGAGCTCTCGTGGTTGAAACGATGTAAATATGACGAGGATTCTAAATGATATTGAAGTTGGCTGCATAAAGTATTGGTGTGACCTGTTGAGAATGTGATATTGCTTCCACTAATGGGGGAGGATATGCACGTATTTAAAGCAGCCAATGCCCTGTCTTGGGTCGGTGTCTTGCGTTGAGAAAAATCCTTTTTCTCCTCTGGATGATGAAGATTAGTTGTGATGAATGGAAACCTTTCATTACAATGATAGCTATTGACTTTGCCTTTGCAGTTGTGAATATTCTTCTTAAGGAAGTCCTTGATGAGGGGATGAACCATTTGGTCCTCGTTACATATCGCCTCTCCATTTCTACCATTTTCTTGGCTCCTGTTGCTTACTTTTGTGAGAGGTAACCTTTAATTTCCCTTTTCAACTTCTAAGTTTAATTAAGTTTTATATCCTCATAGAATGTGTTTGTTCATGTTGCAGGAATAGCAGACCTAAGCTCACATTTCATGTCTTATGTTATCTCTTCTGCGGTGCCATTGTTGGGTTAGTGACTTTTAACATAAATTCATGAATTCAATACCAATATATAAAGCTGAAGCTGAAACACTTGATTTTGCATTTTAGGACGTCCCTTACGCAGTTCTTGTTTCTTCTTGGAATCCAATACACATCTGCTACATTTGCTTGCGCCTTTCTCAACATGGTGCCTGTCACCACATTTGTAATGGCTTTACCATTCAGGTACAGACACAAAACCCAATTATTATGTATGAGTATGATAGTATGATCATTCTTCAAGTCTCTTACTCTTTATTTTCACAGGATAGAGAGAGCAAGCCTAAGATGCAGTAGTGGGAGAGCCAAGATAGGTGGTTCACTGATATGTGTTGGGGGTGCCCTGCTGTTGATCTTCCATAGAGGAATGCCTTTGTTTAAGCATTCAGGGACAGATGAAACGAGACCTGGCATGGAGCTCAATTTGGGCAGGAGGACAACAGAGAGGTGGACCCTTGGTTCCATGGCCTTGACTGCAGGAGTTCTATTGTGGTCTTCATGGTTTTTCATTCAACTAAATGTGGGCAGAAGATATCCTTGCCAATACTCCAGCACTGCAATCATGACTTTCTTTGGAACAATTCAGTCAGCTCTCTTAAGTTTGTTCTCAGGCAGGAACCTTTCTATGTGGGTTCTCAAGGGAAAGATGGAAATCATCACTATCCTTTATGCTGTAAGTATTATTTCATGAATTCAACTAGAATGATTATAGATAATTTTCCAAGTTGATAAAGTTCATTGAACTCTAGAGTTTCACATCTGTGACACTAGTCCTCTAAAACCTAAAATCAGTTTCAGAAAAAGCCAGAAACCAGCAGTTTTAAGAAAATTTTGTTTAGCCTAACTTCAGCATTTGCAGTAAATTAGTTTGCTATTAAAGTTGGGCAAATTGCAGATGGGTACTAAATAGGGTCAAAACTTGGTTGAATGTGTAGGGAATGGTAGGATCAGGCCTGTGCTTTGTGGGAATGGCATGGTGTGTGAAGGAAAAGGGTCCTGTGTTCACTGCAGCATTCAGCCCCTTTGTGCAGATACTATCAGCAATGTTTGATATCCTAATTCTGCATGAACAACTCCATCTTGGGAGGTTGATTACTTGATCCTAAATATTCTTACCATTTCATATCTGCTAATTACATATATAACTCCCACGCCAACTTTTTTCATATGAACATGAACAGCTTGTTGGGTTCAATCATTGTGATCATTGGTCTTTATATTCTTCTCTGGGGTAAGAACAAAGAGTTGCAGAACCGTGTATCGAAAATCAATCATCAAGAAACCAAAGATGTGAAGG